TTTGCTGTGAGAGGACTGTTCCCTTGGCTACCAGTGCTGGCCTGTAATAGTCAGCATCTGGGCAAAGGATGCTTTTCTTTCATTCCTGCAGGAGCACAGGGAACACAGCTGGACAGGTTTCTGGTAGGCAACAGCTCCATATGACACCACTGAATCACGCTGTGTGATTTTGCCCTGCTGCACCCTTCCCTTGCAGGTGCTGCTCCAGGTCATCTCTGGATTCCTGTTGGCCACTGCCCTGTCAGAGAAGTGCTAACAGGAGGTGAGCTTTGGGGCTTGTTTCTCTGCACAGGAGACAGCACACACTGCCTGCAGCTGCTCCAGCCACAGGTATGCATTTACAGCCACATGCAGCAGCAGCAGCACATCATGAGGCACAAGCAGCACAGGCAGCCTCATGCTGCCAGGAGGGGCAGGTCACAGCAGACACAGCTAATGCCTGGGAGCTGTAATCAGTGTCTCTTAATCTTTCTGGTTTTCTGTATTAAGGATGTTGTTGCTTTTGCATCAGAGGAATTAGAATAGTCTTGTCTCCTCTTGAGACCTCAAGGTCCTGCCTTCATTTGCCATTAAGTGCTCCATGAAACTCCATTTCATTAAAGCCTCCACACACAGTGACCTTGGCACAACAATCTGCCCTCTATAGTCCCTCCACAGTCTGAGAATGCTCTCGTTTAAATTACTCTTATGTGAAGGGAATCAAATCCATCTTTTTTTTTTTACTTAAGTGCCTGGAGCAAACGAATGTCTGCAGTCATGAAATGCAGCAAAGGGACTGTGACCCAGAGGGCAAGGTGAGGCTTGCAATTTCTATGGAAACTGGAGACCAACGTCATGGCAGGAGCAGAAGAGGAAAGCAAGAACACAGGTCCAGCAGATGAACAGAAACCTTTGTATCTCAGACAAAAGTTGAGAAGCCAAGGCAATCAATGTGGTGAGTGGATGAAGAGTTGTACAGCAGGTAGCTGGGAATGTGGGGAGGACTTGTGGTGATTTATAAGCACCAAACCCTGAGGCATAACAAAAGTAAACAAGGACACCACTAACTTGTACTGAGAGAAAAAGGGATAGTCACAAATACAGAAAGGCTCTACTGCTTTTATTATTTTTCCCCATGTCTTCTGAGGCAGCCATACCAGATAGAAATATGGACACATCTGAGAATTCAGGGACATGTCTGGTGCTCAGGCCGATGGATCCCATCTTTGTCAGCAGGACCGCTGGCTTTGCCCACCAGAAAGGCTCAGAGAAGGGAGGAGGAACATGGGAGGCATTGGTGCAGGAGCTGTACTCAGGGTTTAATTGTTTTACAGGAATTTGCAGTGTTCCTGCCTAGCTCAGGAACAGAGAGAAGATGATTAGCAGCTTGGTTTGCTGAGTCTGTGTGACCTGCTTTGCATTTCTTGTTGGGAAGATGTGAGGGCTGAAACCTCTCTTTTCAGAGGTCAAAGAGGTTAAACTGCACAGTAAGTGTTGGAGCTCTTCTTCACTTTGGCATCTAGATGTAACCAAAGAACTGCCCTGAATCCAAGAGCATGGAAGTGCTGGGGGTCCACTGAGTGGTTCCATCGAGTCAGGCAATCAGCTCAGCCCATGACAGCTTTTATCTTCCTATGAAACAAACTGAACTCTTAGTTCTAGTTCTACAAAGCCTCTCTCTGTCTGTTTTGCAAATGTAGCTGTTTCCCAGTGGTCCAATCCTTTGCCATTGACCTGGGGCTCTGCTTTTCCTGGTTTGTTCAGGAGGCACCACTTGAAGGCCACCCTAACACTGCTCGGGGCACAGCAATGCACCCGCACCCCAGGACTGCTCTCCAGAACATCAGCCACTGCTCCCTGGCTTTCTGTCCTGGAACATCATTGTATTTAGATGCCAAAGTCCTACTCTTTTCATTCTTGCAGATAGCACAAGGTAATTTTTTATGAGCATTCTCCTGGCGAGATCAAATTTTATTGGGGGATGAGTGATATTCAAATGCCTTGCTGGGGGACACTAATGTACAGATTAAAAATGCATGTGTTAGATAGAAACCTGGGCAAACTGAGCTAGAAGGGCACAGTCTTATGGTTATGCAGTCTATTTCTCTACCCCAAGCCAGAATTATCTGTATTTATCATCCCTGGAGCTATCTGCACTGCTTAACCTCTACCAGAGGCTTCAAAGCCTCTGCAGGCAATTTCTTCCTGTGTTTACTGATCTTCCCAGCAGAAAACTCCTATTTTCCTCAACCACCACGAATATAATGAGTGACTGTAGTAAAAAAACAATATGCAAGCAAGCCAGAAGAACCCAGCAGCACAGATGCAGGAGCCCTGGTAGTCGAAGGGAAGCCTTACTTGGCTTGAGCACTTATTTAGTTCAAGTTGAGCACAGTAGGGTATTGTCTGCAATCAGGTGAAGCACAGCAGTCCTTTCAGCATTCTGGGAGGTGCAGGCAAGATACAATTCTTCAGCATCAGAAAAGATAACTAGCAAAGGGTCAGGGTAAAAATGCAGTTCATTGCAATGAGAGAGAGAGGCAGAACAAAAGAGAGGAGCTTCTTATACTAGTGAGAAGGATCATCCCAGATTTATCTTTCAATTGTAGAGTGTAACTGCTCTTCAGTTTTTATTGTTAGCGCTGCCATTGCAATGATACGCTAGAAATTACCTGCTTTGTTTATTTATTGGTAAGAAAAGAGATTTACCTGCCATGTGATACGCTGATATTTTCAAGCCGGTACAAAGATTGTATCAGAAGTCCCAGACAGCTGAATAATACCTGGCATTAGGGGAAAGGAAAGGAAAAGAGTGGAAACCCACTGCTCCCAGTTTCTGTTCCAGTAGAGGGGCTATAAAGTGCACTAAATCCTGATTTTATTTAAAATACTTTGATTGGAAAGTGAAAGCTCTCTGAAGGCCGTGGTCCAGTTCTCCCCAAAAGAGGATCCGCGGTAGCATGTCCATTGCTGGCACAGAGAGCCCTGCTCTGTCACCTCCCTGGGAAGCAAAGCCAAAAAGCCAAAGCCCAAGATGGTTTTCCAGCTCTAATCTGGTAAACAACATCTGAAGGTTTGTTTGGTGGGATGGAATAGAGAAGAATACATTGTCCTTTGCAAAGATGGCTTCACAGATCATTTTTTTCAGCCCAAACCTCCCATTTCAGACAAAGGAAATTAGAGGGAGCCCTGTGAGGAACATGTGCAAACAGAACTCACCCCCCCCCCCAGCTCAGTAAAAAGGCTCCTGGCCCGACCTGAAGACTCAGATCATTTCCTCTCAAGCACCTCATTTAGCAGAAGGCCTCAAACCACTTTCACTGACACAATTCTCTTAGATTTCCAAGGAATAAAACACCAGATGCCATTTGCACAGTCTGCCATTTCCCTTTTGCATTAAAACTCTGAGCTGCCCTTATCAGGGCAGTGCTGCCTTATCACCTTCCCCAGAAAAGCTTCAGTCATCCATAGAAAGCCATTAATATTCAGTGCATTCCTCGTGTCTCAGAGCTCCCAATTTAAAATCCCAAGTGCTGGTTTGGGAGCTCCAGCAATCACTAGGAAGGATTGGCAGGATCTCTGTAGCTCCTGCCCCCACCTTGCCGTGGGCCTCTCACATACAGCAGTGCCCTTAGGGAGCATCTCTGACCACGGGGTGATCCCTGTGGATGGAACAGACCAGTGGAGATGGAACAGACCAGTGGAGATGGAACAGACCAGTTGGAGCACAAGGGGTAACAGAGCAGTGTTTCCATTTAGCTCAACACCCTGATTCATTGGCACCAGTAACAAATGCAGCCTAAGGACAGGCAAAGCTGCAGAAACACATTTTATCAGTGAGCCAAAAGAGAAATCAATATGTTTGTGTATATTAGTGGGAGCAATCTCCATTAAAAAGCAAAGGGATGAGACAATTATGTTTTTTCATACTTTGTAGAATCCCGTGGTTTTTTACCATGCTGTAGTCTCTGCCTTAAGCCTGTCTCTCAAAAGCTGCTGGGCTCACAGAAGAGATCAGCCCCATCACCTGCCCTTGCTGACCCACAGGCGATTCCCAGGCCCTGCTGAGCAGGCACTTTTCCCAAAAGTACCTGGAGGTCTGCAAAGAAGAGGAAGGTTTAGAAAGATTTGTGCCTGTGAATGGTCTGGAGTGACTAGAAGATGCAGAGAGGTTCAGTTTGTCCATACTGACACAGTTCACACTTGCATTTTCTCACTTAAAACCCAAAATTGCGTTGATGGGGTTTGTGGTTCCTCTGCTTGCCAGGAGATTGAACGGGGCCAGTTCAGTCAAATGAACCATTTTAAGTGCATTGCTTTGTGTAGGTGTCCTGGGGAGAGAAAAGAAAAGAAAAGAAAAGAAAAGAAAAGAAAAGAAAAGAAAAGAAAAGAAAAGAAAAGAAAAGAAAAGAAAAGAAAAGAAAAGAAAAGAAAAGAAAAGAAAAGAAAAGAAAAGAAAAGAAAAGAAAAGAAAAGAAAAGAAAAGAAAAGAAAAGAAAAGAAAAGAAAAGAAAAAAGAAAAAAAAAGAAAAGAACATGAGTCACTAACAGCCTCTTTGTACTGCAATCACTTGTGGTTTAATTTCCTAAAATGAAAATTTATTGGGATGTCACTGCAAGTAATTTCACTGTTTTCCTTCAGGAACCAAGAAGTGCAAAGCATTAAGCTGGCTAGAGGAATGTCAAAGAAGGCAGCAGACACGACAGGAGTCCCCCAAGTGGCACACACTACCCTGGCTCCAGGCCAGGGAGTGCAGATTTGCATTGTGGCAGTTTCCCCCCAACAGTTGCTCATCACAGAGTGGAGAAAGAAATTACCTGCAACACTTGCTGTAACAGCTACACGAGAAAATGGCACCTTTTTAAACTGAAAATAAAGAACTCTCAACATGATTTTGGTCATTATGCACCCTAAATGTCTGTTGTGGCAGGACTAAAGGACTAAGAGTAAGTGAGGTGGAGAGAGGAACATGAGGTGAGAAAGGGCACTTACCTAACACAGGCAGCAAAACCACTGGCAAGACTCACTGCCAGGTTCCCAATGAGCTGGAAGCCACAACTCTACAGAGGTGTGAGCACAACTCTGCTTCTCATGACACATGGTCTGTAAAGCTTCATGGCAGCCCTGAGAGAAAACAAGTGAAATATGTTAGCTGAGGAACACAGGGTGTATATTAAGGGAAGATTTGAAGAATTCAGGTCTACCCATGACGTCAGAGTAATAGTTGTACATTTGTTGGTATCTCAGAGAAGAGACTGGGGAGGAAAGTCTTCTATGCTCAGGAGGCTACTCCAATCAGCCTGGGGTACAAACATGGAAAAGCAGCAGGCAGTACCACTTTTAGCTTTGGCACTTCTAAGCTACCATAGGGGTACTACGGCAGAAAATCCTGAAAAACTTGCTAAAACCAGGGATAACTAACTAAAAATTGGGTGCTTTGTTTTCTTTACTCTGTCTTTAGCTCTGGTCCCTGCACACGATGACATTTTTAGCTGTGCTCTGAGCAACCCCCCAGGCTGTCCCTCCCACGGGTGTGCTGACAGAGCTGTGAGGTGTGTGCTGCTTGAGGGGCCAGGCCAGCACTCAGCAGGCTCTCGTGTCTCCTGTTCTGGACTGTCCCAGGATCTGGCCTGCGTGGTTTTGGTTTGCCCCAGGTGCAGCTGTGCTATTCACAAGCTAAACCACAAAATGCTGCAGCAGCACCCTTCAGACAGAGAGGTGCCAAAGTGACAGGGTGACACTCACAGAGCCTGCAGAGTAGACATCACAAAGGATATGAACGTATTTGTCACTTTATACTGTATATATAAAAGCATTGTGTCTAACTGAATGCGCTCTATCTAAAATAAATTCTTGCTCCCTTTCTGCAAACTCAATGGAAGTCAAAGTAACCCCATCTGTTTAAATCCCTGAGACCAACATTGCTTCCTCTCTTCCATTAACATGAGTTTATCCTGCTCTTCCTTGAGTGGGAAATGCATCAAGCCTGAAGTTTGATTAGTGGTAATCAGAAAACATCCACACCTGCATGGAGGTAGTGGGAGGCTTTTCAATTAAAAATGGATTTTGAGAGCATAATGTCTCTGTTTTGAAAGGACAAATGCATCTTTCAAGGAATACAAGCCATAAAAATAATTTGTGTATTGTGTTTCTTCAAGGACAGTAATGTTATCATAGAATGGAGTGTCTTAATTGCTGGAGAGATTAATGTCTGCTCTTTGGAATTAAGTACATTCAATGTTACTAAAAAAGTACTGGGGAGCTTTTCAAAGGCTGGATGATAGAACAGCCAGTGATTATCATCTCTCCAAAACCAGGTGTCTTTTTTTTTTTTTTGGTTCATTTTATTCAAAAGCCAGGTGCAAGGACTGTGGGGTGGGGACCTGCACCTGACCCCACAGCAGCCCAGCCAGGACTGCAGCAGGGCAGTGCATGGGGGAGCAGGATAATTGATTATTGCTGAAGGAAGCAGCCTGGCAGGGGAGCAGTGTCTAGCTGCAATAAGTGGGTTTTATTCGTTGTTTCCAAGTCTTTATTATCTCTGATGCCTGTTGAGATAAAACTTTTGGAAGAAAAGTCCTCCCTGATGGTTTAACTTTCTCATCTTTTGATTAAATACTAAGGATGGTTTTGCTCCTCATTTGTCAGGTTCCCAGTAAAGCCAGAGGAAGGTAAGATTTAATCTTGCTGTAACACCTAAATATAAACTGTAATCAGATTTATAAAAAATATCTACAGGCCTCTTTCATAAGCCATGAAAAGCTTAGAAAAAGTACATCTGTGCACTTCTGCTTCCTTTTCACAGTCTTTCACCTCTGCTTCTATTTCCCTAAATAGAAAGATAATAGTATTAATCTATTCCTTGGGGCTTTTGGGAAGATTCATCAGTTAATATTTATGCAGCAAAATGGAATAAGTGCTGTGTAAGTGCTGAGCATCATTACTGTTCTCTCTCTTCCTTAGCACATCATGAACATGCCAAGAAGCCCAGACAAACACAAAAACCAGCTGTCCTCAAAGCAAGGCAAGCGACACAGGTAACATGACTGCCAGAGAGCCTCTAATTCAAAATGTTTGCTGTGGGGGATGTCTGTGGCTACCAAAACAACCCTGTAAGATCCAAAGAATCAATCAGATTTCTTGACTCGCTTGAACAAGTTCTGTCTGCAGCAAAGAAGCTCTGAGAACACGTTCAAATTAAATATGCTGCACGTTTCCACGTGGGTTGTGCTTTGGAAAACACACATAGTAGTAATAAACCCAGGGCAAAAGGAGGGGTTTAGAATGCAAAACCTACTTGCTGCTTCAGTTGGATTCCAGTTTAAGATGCAGCTACTGTAGGAGGGACATCCACGAGGAGTGGAAGGACAGCTTTGCTCAAGAGCTCTGCACTATGAAAGGGGAAAGACAGAAAGAAACACTGAAACCAGAACAAAGACAAATTCCAGGAAAGAAGTCCAGGGGGTCACAGCAAGGCTGTGGAGGGAGAGCAGAGGTGAGCAGTGACACACCCTTTTCAGGCAGGTGGGCCCTCCAGCTCCCAGGCTCCTGCCAGCAGATCCAGGGTGTGCAGTGCCCACGGCACACGGATTCCCTGCACTGGGAAAGCCACTCTCTGCTACCTCTCTTCCACCTTCATTTAAATGCTGACTTCCAGCTTTCCCTGTTTCTTTTTCTATTACCAATGAACCAACCCTTCACTGCCCCAAGCTCTACCCACCATGTGATCATTTACTCCCTCACTACGGATCTGGAAAATCCTGAGCTGCCAACGTTTTGCACTGGAGCCCACAAAGCTGATGCAGTGCCAAGTATCCTTCTCAGCTTAAAAACGTGCCTTGGGGCAGTTTTTCGTCTGCAGCTGCAAAACTCTGAGCCCAGTTTGCCAGCAGAAGCCCCTGCTCCCTGCAGCAGCTGAGGGAGAGCTGCACTCCCTGCCCCAGATGTTCTGGAGCATCTTGCAGCAGTGGCAGGCACTGCACAGCACCTCAGTCTGCAACTGGCTCCACCTCTGCAACCACTAGAGTAACTAACCCTCATTTCCACAGGTTTCTGATGCAGGAATTTACATTAGTCCCAATAGCATCAGGACTTCTCATCTGTCAATCTCAAAGTCTTGCCATCTGGTCCATCTCAAAGCACAGCTGGTGGTTGTGATGTTACATCTGCCCAAAACAACTTGGTATTTGCTTTCAGAACAGTTTGCCTTCGCTCAGAGACTTGTCATGATGTGGCACGATGTTATTTTGTAGCTGAGGCTGCTGGCATGAGCAGTGCACAAGGAATTCAGCTGAAATAAGTCTAACAGAAACAGCCTTTTTATTACTGCACTACAGTCTGACAGAAAACTGCCACACTTCTCCTCAAAATGTTGCAGGGTCATAATCACAGACACTGTCTGAAGGATGCACCAGCACCCAGCTGGGCACGGCAGCAAAGGTGCAAGGGCAAAATGAGAACTTTGGGCAGAGGTTCTCGCAAATTGAAATCCCCAGTTTGGGAAATTGAAAACACATGTGAGAGTAAAAATCAGGCTGTGAAACCCAATTTGCTCTTCTTTTCCAGAAATAACAACTCGATAATAGCATTCTGCTGGACATGGCCATGGAGGTGACTTTATTCCTGCTTATGCAGGAAATGGAGGTGACTTTATTCCTGCTTATGCAGATGAGAAGCTGAAGTGCCCTTCCATTGAAACCCCTCAGCCATTTAAGGGTGGGTTTACTCAAGAGACTAATTCCCCCAGAACTGCTGCCTGGAGTCCTCTGCACAAGCCACTCTTCCCTGTAGCCTCCTGTCTTGTCCTGCTCTTCCAACCTCCAGCTAAAGCTGCTCCCTCCCACCATGAATCCACAGTGGATGACTTGCAAAATGACAATTCTTGTCACTGAAGGACATTAGAACATACCAGTTCTCTGGTGTTTTGCTGATCAAGGAGCATCTTCCTAATAAACTGATTAAAATTGTGCAACCAGGGAAAGAATAAACATTATGGAAGGAAAAAACAACTTCTCACAGCACCTGGAATTTATGGATTTGGCCTTCCAGTTGGCCAGACTGAGGCCCTCCCTATTTGATTAAGTTACAGTATTTTACTTATCAGTGTAGTAAAGCTTAAGACTCCTCCTCACCCACTTTGGGTCTGTGGTTCTGGGAACTGCAGAGACTCAGTGAGGAGCTCATCCTGCATAAAACCTTTGCCCTGTGGGCATGCTAAGGTGGGATATCTCAATGCTATGGAAGGATGTGCCAGAAAGAGAATTGTGCCTGTACATGGACACACTGGTTCCCCGGGAATCTTTAAATAAGAGGCAAATTTAGATTAGACATCAGGAAGAAATTCTTTGCTGGGAGGGTGGTGAGGCCCTGGCACAGGTTGCCCAGGGAAGTTGTGGTTGCCCCATCCCTGGAAGTGCTCAAGGCCAGATTGGATGGAGCTCTGAGCAACCTGGGATAGTGGAAGGTGTCCCTGCCCATGGCAGGGGGTTGGAACCAGATGATCCTTAAGATCCCTTCCAACCCAATCCATCTGTGGATATGATTCCTTTCTCTGATTTATCTCCTCTCCTACACAGAAAATGGACCTTCTGTTCCCACAGTGAGGAGGTTGAGAAGGGTTGAGAGCAGCCAAGGTGCCTTCCCACATCTGCTCTTGCTTGAGTCCTTTGGGCCAGCACTACATTAAGCATTTTGCCCAAAACTGGCACTCCCACTGCTTCCCCCTGCACGCAACTGTCCTGTCACACAACATCAGGATGTAGGATTATGATGGAATTGCATCATTTGAGAGGAAGAGATGCTGGACTGCAATGCCAAAGTGGACATGCCCTTCAGAGCAGCAGTCTGCTCCCTCAGCCCAGATTTCATCACAACAGGATCACCCCTGTTCCCGATGCTGCTGTTTGAGGTTAGGCTTTATGCTAAACCCATGGTCCATTTTCATTCTGGGCTTTGGAAGGTCGTTTGCACGCTTCAAATTTTGAATTATGGAAGACAAATTGATAGTTTCAGTAAGGGCTGATCCCCTCCAACTCATTCAAATCCAGTCTCTGTCCCAAGGGAATGAGGCTCCCAGGTTGTGCTTCAATTTAGAATGCAGCTGTCAGAAAAGACAAACTCAGTTAATGCTTTTTAAATGCCGGAGCCGAACCTGGCAGGGAAGAAAGGCCACGTCAGCTCCCCATCTTTCATTCCATGATATTACTGGACTGTGAGCTACAAAATCCAAGCCAGATGTCTTTGTTACTAACAAAGATTTTCTCTCGAGGAATATCTGGCTGCCTGATGGAATCTGATTGACCCTGACACAGACAGCTACCTTAGAGAGTATTGAACCATTTCTTGTTCTCAACATTTGCATTTCAGGAATGTCCTAAAGGAAAAGGAGGAAGGATTCATGGTGAATGCTGTCCCATAATTTTCTTGATCGTTTCCTTTCCGGAGGAATAATCACCAAGGAGAAGCAGTGAAAACTGCAGATGGTGTGCAAGAATAAGTGTAATGTGCAGTTATAAAATAAAATCTCCATTTGCCATGGACAAGAGCTGGTAAAAGAAACTCAGTGAAGCAGGACAGCCTTGCTGTGATCAACGTGGTCAGAATCTGACTGTCAGAAGACAAAATGTCCTGTCTTCCAGCAGACCATTACATTGCTTTTTACACACTCTCTGCGTTTCAAAACCACTCCTTAAAGCAGCCTAAACTTCTGACACGCTCAAAACATTTCCAGATAAGAAGAGAAACACTTCACAGGCAGAGGATAATAGCAATTCTTAAAAAGCAAGGGTTTGTTGGTTGGGTTTTTTTTTCAGTATGTGTTTCAGAAATTAATAAATGGTTTAGCGCATTTCTGCCATTCAGACTAGGCAAAAAAAAAAAAATTAATTGATGCAATGTCAACATTTCTGAGCCTGAGGCACCTCCTTATACAATGCATTTTCACTAAAGATGTGTAGAGGTGGCACTCAGGGATATGGTTTAGTGGTGGGCTTGGCAGTCCTGGGTTAACAGTTGGACTCAATGACCATGAAAGTCTTTTCCAAACCAAATGATTCTGTGATTCTATGCAGGGGTGCCATCCCACAGCTCTGCAGGGATGTCACACATCAGCTGTGACTGAATGTCAAATGCCTCCCCCCTGCTGCTCTCAGTTAGAGATGCCCCCATGTAGGGAGTCACCTCCCTTCTGCTGCTCTGCAGATGTTGGATGGTTTGATGGAGAACAGCAGGAGCAGAGAGAGCACCCTGAGGCAAAGTTACCAGCAGCTTTGGATCCTTGTTTACTCGTTTCAGTATCAATGGATGTTTGCTTGCCTGTTTTTTGCTGGGGTAAGATCAGTACAGTTTATTAATCCAGCTATGAGTTGACCTGCATTTGGTATTTTCCACAAACATTTGTTGGAACTGTGACAGATGAACAAAACTCTTCAAGGATGTCTCTGCTTTTCAGAGCTTTCCTATTGTTAATTGCAAGCACATCACACGGTTTTGCCTTTGGGATTCAGCTCACCTGCCTATAAATATCTGAAAGGCTGCTCTCTGCTCCAAGACAGCAACCTGGGTCCCTTCCAGCAGCAAATGCAGCAACACATGTTGCTACAGGGTAAAATCTCTCTCCTGGGCCAGGGGGCCAGGATAAATTGCCAAGTGCTGGTTGCTGTCTATTATTTCCACTGGCTACAGGAGAAGTGTGGACAAATAGCTGAAACCAGCTAAGTTATAGATCGTTAAAATAAGGTGAGACAAATGTACCCTGCGCAGCTGTATCTGTTTTGCTTTGCTTTTAAAAGATCTGCTTGGGTTTACAACACATAAGCAAGAATTCTTGCTTTCAGGACAAATTCAGGAAGATTAAAGAAACTTCCTTCCCTCCCTGGCATGTTGTTACTCTTCCTCAGCCATCTACTGGTGTTTTGTTGAAGCTCCTTCCCTCAAAGTACCTGGTGGAGGGCACGGAGGCAGCTGCTGGATTGAAATGAACCTTTGCATGGGTTCAGGATGGAAAGTCAGCAATCCCGAATTCAGCAATCCTGATGTTTGAAATGAACACTGAACCATGCACAGCCAGGCTGCTGAGAAGTTTATATTTGTCCTTACCCTTCCTCAATCACTGGTTTGAAAGAACATCTGTTCCACCAGTCTACACTGTACAAAACTGCTGTTGGGCTGTTACTTCCCTTGACTGACTCGGGCTTTTAACAAGGGAAGTGTATGCAGATCCCCCCTCCCTTCCAGTGCTCCCTTCACGTCACAATCCACAGCAATCCTTCACTGGGACTGCACACTGCAAGGGGGCCCTGTCAATCGACATCACTGCTACCAATCTGAGGTCTTTTCAAAATGAGGGGCTGATTGTAGCAGCAGTTATCTGCAGTTACCTGGCAGAACTCTC